GGCGCAGCAGCCTCGCCCTTCCAATGGCGCTTAGGCCGATGGGAGCGTTCCTTGGAGGAGTCGGAGTCTTCGGAGTCCGCTCTATAGTGAACCCGTTTAGAGATGGGTTGAGGGGCGTCTAGGTCTGCAGGGAGCGACTTAGAAGAGGCTTTTTCCATGGCTGCGGCCACCGCTGCTGTGATCATGGCCTGAAGGTCTGAGGAGGTTTGAGATTCCTCCATGATTTTGAAAGGTATTCGGGGCTCACCCGATAGATTGTGTGAGGGCACTTTAGGCACAGTTAGTGGAGAGGCCTGGGGACCAGGGTGGTATGTTATTGGTAGTGGTTAACCTGAGAGGGTAGGGAGCAGTAGGTCGTAGTAATTATAATGAGAGGGCTGTGTCACTGGGGCTCACCCAGGAAAATCGGAGTCCTGCATGAACAGGTCCGCTTTAGCAGCACAAAATGGGGGCTCACCCCGGCCAGAATAAGGTACAGTCCAACTGGCTTTAACCAACCCCAGCTGTTAGGTACCAACCTGACTTGGTCCCACTGAGTGAAGGGGCAGGCTGAAAAAGGGATTCCTGTTGCTAGCAGTTTGGTAGCTGGAGCAGGCAGCTGACAGTGCTTATCCCCTCTAAGATGGCCGCCGGACTAACAGCCGTCAGTATGAGGGAGATAGAACCTCCCCCAATTTGGGCGGCAAAATTAGACGTCTGGCGTTCGTGTGAAAAAGAAAAACCGAACGTGCGCCTAGTAATAGTGGCCTATTTTAGGCGCTCGCGGCAAACCGCCGAACGAAAGCGTTCGGTAGAAAAACAAAATGACTATACAAACGCACAGAAAACTACTGGCGTACGCGAGAAAACAGGCGATCGCGCCAAACTGCCGAACGAGAAATGTTCGGTTGAAGAATTTGAAGCGTCTGTGCGCAAGCGCACAGGAAAAACTGTGAAGGGAGTATGGAGGAGGGGAATGGACGGCGGGAGCCGTGAAAGTTATCTGTAGAAGCCTGAGGCAAAGTCCCAGTGAAGTTAAAGGGGGGAGAAAGGTCCCCAAGGGAATTCCCTGAGGGAAAACAGGGGGCAGACCTCAGGGGAGAGGGTTAACCCCCGAAATGGGGACAATAGTAAAAAGTGTATATGTCAGAATAAATATAGGAAAAATATACAAGACAGAACTATGTAAAATAAAGACAGAGTAAAGTATATATGTGTGTAAAGTATATATAAGAGCTGAATGATGAGAGAACAAAATTTGTACTTATCTTGTGATGGAGCAGCAAAGAAAGAGGAAATGATGTCATATGTTACACCTCTTATACTCTATACTGCATTGTGATTGGTTCTCAGTTTTGTCACTCTTTTCTTTGCTGCTATGGAGTTAGTAAAGAAAGATTATGCAAAATACGAAGCCTCCTGTCATGTGATAAAATTAAACTAAATTGGTGACTTGGGAACCTAACTAGTTGGCAAGTAGCGATGAGAGACTCTACCAATGATTCGGGCCATTGGGTATGTTTGCCACCGAGCATTGTGGCGGGGTGTTGGCCTCTCGGTGAGGATTAAAGAGATTCAAAATGACTGTGACAGGTGAGGCCCTAACTGCTTTGCAGAGAGGGCAGAGATGCGAGGCAGTAACTATGATTTTGCCCTAGGGAATTTGGAGGCAAATTGGGACAAAGGGACTAGTAGGTTAGCAAAGGGAATTAGGTTTTTGAACTTGTTAAAATGATACCTTCATGTTAAAACTTATCCAAGCACCAACTAGTCTGGACCTAGTTCTAACAGATACACAAGAACACAATAATACAAAAAGGTATAGCGCTATATACAAAAATAAGGAATATTTACAGACCAAACGGGTATTCTCACAAGGACCGATGTATACTGTAGATGGTATACCTATGTAACGGACCGTTTTGCCCACAAGAGGTTAAAAACCGTTTAGGCGATCTTCCCCTTTCAGATGCACAGACAGCTACTGCAGTCACCACTCTCCCGAACTGCAAACACACGAATACTGGAAACAGCCAAATAGGGAAAACCATGCAAATAGGTTTACACTCCTAGCAGTCAAACTGGAACAGCATACAATAAATCCTCCCCCAATAATGAGACAACACTTCACTTTGAGGGTTAAGCAGGAACTCACTTGTAATGGCCACACACTGGCTTTTATGCAAGTCCCCAAGCAAGGGGACATCCCACAGAGTGGGACACAGTACAACCAATTGTTTACAGGAGAACCATAAAACACACCCACATTTACATCACAATCCCTCCTCTCTGTCCAGGAGATAATTGTGAAGTAATCCAATTATCTCCTAGGACAGAGGCAAGACTCCATTAACCACATGGCAGTAACAATACAATAAAAAAAAAATACAATTACATACAGTTAAATTTATTCCATAAAACATAGACATTCTACATATCCCCAGATAGCTTAGATCTGAGTGCACATTACTACCAAATGGCGCTCAGATCACATAAATACAGTTCAATCGCCATGGAGCCAAAGTCTTTCATACAGTCTTTCAGTATACGGCTGGGCTCCATGGCATAGCTATCTGGGGTAGCATGGCTTTAACAGTCCGCATAAAGGCACGAATAAACCTTTCTGCCGGTAAAATAAAAGTTTAAAATGCAGGACCATAGTCTAAAGGGAGCAGGTGAGCAACCAGGCCTCTCCAGTGGACAGTGGCGAGGTTGGTTCCTCCACACTTCTCCCCTTTACCAATCAGACTTACAGAGTATCTGACTTCCTGCCGGTCAGTGCCCTTGTTAGTCCAGCAGCCCACCCACAAAACACAATCAGTAATACAGTCCACCCACAATAACTGGTTACTACACCTGGGTAAAGGAGAACTTTGTCCATGTCCAGGTGCCTCACATGGATGTGTGGGTGACTGGTAAGCGGACTGGGTGGGTTGCTGAGTGAGCAGAGACCAGCGGTACTCTGCCCTGGTGCCAGCACTACCACCTGAGTAATCTGGTGAGAGCCTGGATGCTTTAGGGGGAGACCGACTTTCTCCCCTTTAGATGCACAGCTCTACTGCTGGATGGGAAGACCGACTGTCTCCACTTCGGCTAAACAGCCCTGTCGCTGGGGGGCACGACCGGCTGTCTCCCCTTTGGATGCACATCCCTGCTTCCGGGGGACAGGACCGACTGTCCCTAGCCCCTGTGAGGCATGTGCAGAGATCACGGTCCCATCTGCATGGGTGTGGGGCTTATCATCTCCCCTTGGTGGGCTAAGCTGCCGCTGGGCAGAGGGGGTAACAAGTTCATCTCCCCTACCCACTTTTTGTCGCTGGGGAGAGGGAACGACAAGCTCCTCTCCATGACTCTCTCTCTGCTGGTGGAGGGGGGAACCAACTGTCTCCCCTTTCAATATATTGTCCTGATGCTGGGGGCCGAGACCGCCTGCCTCATCTGACCCATCTGGGAGGATAGGGTTTCCCCTTTGTGACATAAGCTGCCGCTGGGAAGAGGTGGTCACCGACTCCTCTCCCTGGAATCCTTTCAGCCGCTGGGGAGAGGGGGTAGCAGGTTCCTCTCCCTGACACTCTCTCTGCTGGTGGAGGGGGGGGACCGACTGTCTCCCCTTTCAATATTTTGTCCTGCTGCTAGGGTGCGAGACCGGCTGTCTCTGCTACTGGCAGGACACTCTGCCGCTGGGGAGGAAGGACGGTACCTTCAGCTCCCTGTAACATATACTGTCGCTGGGGAGGAAGGACGGCACCTTCATCAGCTCCCTGTGACACACACTGCCGCTGGGGAGGAAGGACAGCACCTTCCGCTACCTGTGATACACACTGCCACTGGGGAGGAAGGACGACACCTTCAGCTCCCTGGGACTTGCTCAGCCACTGGGGTCTCTCCCCCCTGGCTAAATCTGCTTTTAACTGCAGATACTCTGCCACTCTTCTCCTTGTGTTTTGTACATATTTCTCTTCTGGATTGGGTCCGAAGAAAGCCAGCAGGCTTTTCAGCATAGCG